CCTACAGTTTGGGTTCAGGAGACATGACGACCCACCACAGCCACCAGCCAAAAACGGCACTGCTCTGGAGTGCAGTCACATAGCCTGACAAGCCCTGGAACCCAAGCCTAAACTGCAAGGGCAAAGCAGGCCATTTTACTCCTGGGCAGGGCAATGAGACACCCCGCTGGCTTTGCTGGCTTCACTGTGGGACTTGGTCCCTCCTGAGACCGCAGCTCCAGCTGACCTCAACGCTCCCACCTTGAGTTTCTCAAAGGCGACCTCCTCCTTTACAACAGTAACATCCACTGGGCCCTGGCCCCACCACCTGCTCTTCTGTGCCCCACCTCACCCCATATGGCGCTCTCCACTCAGCAACCTTTTCCAGGCCCAAAGCTGCAGTCCCTGTGCGCCCAGAGCTCCTTTTCTTGCAGGAAGGTGAGCTCCTGTGTGGTTTCAGCCATGGTTTGTATTCAAGATAACGGCTGTCAGGTTTTGTCTTAACAAAAGCCCATGGACAAGTAACATCCATAAAGTAAGGGCAAGATTTGCACGATTGGGAAACACCGGGGTTGGGGTGGGGTATTTTACACCGTTCCCATTAGAGGGCGCCAGACTCCGCACTGTGTGGTCACTGCCACAGCCGTCCTCTTTCCCCAGCCTTGGGTTCTAGAAAGCTCTGTGGCACACAAAACAAGACCCGGATAGAACTTGGACCTGTTCCATGGGCACAAATTGGGATTCCTGAAACACACTTGCAACGTTCCTTCGGAAGGAGCCTGGACCCTGTCCTCCCAGTTTCAGGCCTGCGTCCAACAGGGGTTCTGAACCCTTGGGGCTCCTGGGTCCTGGGAATCTAAGGTGAGTATAGGAGTGCTAGAAATCTAGAGCAGCAAGTGAAAACTCAGCTTCCAGTTCATGCCCACACTGGCCACCATGTACACCTATGGCACTTTCCGGAAGCTTCTACACACTGTAGGTATGCCTGCTCGCCAGACTCATTTTGTAGGCCAGGAAGTGCCCATGTCCAGCATTCCCCTTTAGGAAAAGGATGTGGCGCAATGGGTATATGCCCACATCCTATAGTTCAGTGCCACTTCCAACCCAGCATCCTGCAGAAGGGCACCCCCAGCCACCTGCATGGGCAGCCTGGGCAGAACTGGCCCAGGTCTGACTGATGCAGACTTTCGGAGAAGGAACCATAGGATGGGAGAGCTGTCTCTCTACCTTTCAAATAAAAGGAAAATAAATTTTGCATGTCTTTTTTCCTTTTTTAGAGAAAAAGAAATGGACCAGAACCCACTACCTTTGGCACTGGGCCCAGAATCACTGTCCCCTTGGGCAGGTGGACTGGGTGCAAAACATTGACACATCAGGACCTGAAGGCCGCCTCGGCACTCTCCTCACCCCAGTGGGTGCAGTGAACCCAGGGCGAATGCTGGGGACAGGGCACGAGTTGTGCCACCGGGAGGAAGGCCCAGGGGCCAGGCCGTGCTCTGGGGATGGGGAGACTCCTTTGGGAATCCTGACACTTGCAGCAAACTGGATGGAACTGGAGATAATTCTGTTGAGTAAAATAAACTAGACCCTGAAAGACAGCACTGCAAGTTCTCCCTCAACCACAGCAGTTGAAAACACAATGTAATTACGAGGTTCTGGGAAACATGGGGCACTGAAACGCAGCTGGCTAGACAGGGGTCCCGAGCTCACCAGACCGGCCCCCTGACGGCTCGCAGGCCAGCCAGAGGTGCGGGTGGGGGCACTGCTTCTGCACCCCCACCTCGCAGGAGCCCAAGTCCTCGCTGCACACACTTCCCACCGAGGCTGCGGTGGGGCCGTGGGCAAAGCAGGGCCTCTGCACTGGGGTCACCGGCAGGAATGCCTCCTTCTAAGGAGTGGCCACATACTGCAGTCCCCAAGACAGTGGAGGCCAGTGGCAGGCACCCCTGCTCCCGGGTGTCCTGGCCTTGGCCAGTGCATCTTCCGGTCACCTCCTGGCTGAGGTCCCTGGACTCCCTCTCCAGTTGGCAGGTGCATTGGGGCCATGAGGCTCAAACCCAGAACAGGAGGGTATGGCTGTCAAGAGGGGCCCTGCAGCTTCCAAGGACTGCTGCCTCCAAGGCAGAGCCCAGGCTGCTTTCCCGGCCAACCGCTGCCACTGTGGTAAGGGCAAGGCAAGACTTGAGCCCAAGCACCCAACTTCCCGTGGGCGGCACCTATGGACGCCACACGGCCAGGATGTGCACCTTGTAGGGGAGCCCTTCTTTGGTCACATCTAACGTCCTGGCTGACACTGGTGGCTTATAACCACCACAAAGTGATTTTGCCTTTGTCTTTTAGCTCTGAATGGGCTTTGCTCAAAGCACTGTGAAACAAGGAACCTTGAAGAGCGTGAGCGTGGGTGGCTCTGCCGATTCAATCCCGTCACAGCGCTCAGCTTCACGCCCTGCCTCATTTTGTAAAATCCACTGTTAGGGGGTGTGGTAACACGTTGGTTGAAGCTGCTCCCAGCAGTGCCGCCATCCCACAAGGGCACCAGTTGCAGCATAGCAGCTTCACTTCTGATCCATCCCCTTGCCAATCTGCCTGGGAGAACGGCGACAATGCTTCCACATCTATTAGGACTTTCAATAGGAAGTTTCACTTTCTTAGAAAACTGATTTATTTGAAAAGCAGAGACACAGAGAGAGAGCTCCTACCTGCTGGTCACTCGCCAACAGCCAGTGCTACTGAAGCCAGGAGCCAGGAGCTTCACCAGGCACCTCGGCCACCACCCATTGTTTGCTAGGCGCACCAGCAGGGAGCTGGACTGATGGAGCAGCAGGGACTGTCTGAACTGCACTGTGGCTCGGGATGCAGGATGCTGCACTCCACAACGCCCCCTACCCTGCCCTTGCTCTTCTACTGAGAACTGAAGGAAATGCTCAAGGCCACTGCTGCTACACAAGGCACTCAGGCTTGATGTTTAAGTCGAGTCATTCCCAGAAGCAGCTGAAAGGCAGGATGGAGAAAAACTGCTCCAAGGAGAAAAGGAAGAGGCTGGCTGTACGGCAGAGCAAGGCCAAGGGGCTGCCTCTGTCCGCCAGGCCGCACTGGGAGCTGCACAGAGGAGGACTGGCAACAATAGGACCCCAGTTACCCATGCCACTCATGCCATCTGGTGCGCGCCATGTGCACACGCCTGAAGGTAATTTCCCACACTTGGAGATTGCAGCTGTGGGCTCTCCCGCTGTGTGGCATTTCACTGGTGCCTAGAAAACTCCCAACTTAGGGCCCAACGCACTGGCCTAGCAGTTAAAATTCTCGCCTTGCACATGCCAGGATCCCATATGTGCACCAGTTCTAATCCTGGCAGCTCCACTTCCCATCCAGCTCCCTGCTTGTGGCCTGGGAAAGCAGCAGAGGACAAACCAAAGCCTTGGGACCCTACACCCACGTGGGAGAGACCTGGAGGAGGTTCCTGGCTCCTGGCTTCAGATCAGCACAGCACCAGCCATTGTGGTCACTTGGGGAGTGAATCATCAGACGGAATATCTTCCTGTCTCCCCTCCTCTCTGTATATGACTTTGTAATTAAAAAAAAAAAAAAAAAAGCCTTACCAACAAATAAAAATACACTCACAATTTGGGTGTGCCGTCATGTCTGGAGGGGGGGGGATGACCGACTGCGCCATCTGACCACCACCAGGGCAGCTTCCTGTCTCATCCACCCATTTCCACTCTTCATCACAGTGCCCAGTCCATGGCAGGCGCTACAACCTGCTTCAACACCTCTCCCCTGAGGCATACTGAGACAGCCACGGCACGCCCAGGAGAGCGAGCTGACCGGAAGCACTCCTTCCTTCATGTTAGTCCAAGGCAACGGGAATGTGTCCCTCTGTACACGGTGTCGTCGGCATCAAGGGAGAGAGCCAGAAGGGACCAGCACGGTAGCCTAGCGGCTAAAGTCCTCACTTTGCAGGCCTCAGGATCCCACATGGGTGCCAGTTCATGTCCCAGCTCTCTGCTTGTAGCCTCAGAAAGCAGCCAAGGATGGCCGCCAAGAGACTTGGGACCCTGCACCCACATGGGAGACCCAGAGGAAGCTCCTGGCTTTGGATCAGCTCAGCTCCAACTGTTATGGTCACCTGGGGAGTGACCCAGCAGATGTAAGCTCTTTCTCTCTGTGTATCTGCCTTTCCAATAAAAAAATAAAATAAAATGTTGAACAGGAGTAACACAGAACGCAGTTCCTGCCCCAGAAATTACTGTATGGGTGACTTGGTAGTGGCAGGCCTATCCTACAAGCTGCATTTAACCAACGGTCCACAAAAGTAAAATACGCTAACTAGGTTTGTGGCCTTCATGGCCTAACAGATGCTATTCGAACTCAGTCAGGTTCAACTGCACCGTGCAGGGCAGGGCTGGGCACTGGGAGACACACCACAGTCTGGCCTTGCTCCTGAAGGCAGGGTCCGGATCCTCAGCAGGACCTAGGCTCCCCTTCACCTACCCACCGTGACAGCAGGTACCACTGACACCACAGGACAGAGACATCTAATCCCCTTGGGGAGTGGTAGGAACCCCACTGCACATCCTGGGAGCCAGGGGTCGCCGCAGCTCAGGAACAGACCCAGAGGTCCCTTCCCCAGCGTGGGGAATCGATCTGCCACTCCTTAACTGGTAGGTATTTGCTGCAGTTTGAGAGAAGGGACCCACTGCCATGCCCACCGCTCGCCAGACTCCATGGCCCCAGTATTCTCCACTGTGTTACCCAGCAGTTACCAGCTTCTGCATTAACTCTGTGAGCCTTTTCCTTCCAAAGGTGCCGAGTGCTCCCTGCAGTGCTGGTCGCAGCAGCCTTCGCAGCCAGGCTGCCTGCCTATGTCCCAGTAAGCACACGCTCCCCGTTTCCACTGCTTTGCAAGTACGTGTGGGACGATGCAGCCTGGCCACCAGCTTCCTCTTGCAAAAGGGAGTTCAAGTCCACATGTGTAGCACGACCCAGATATAATTCTCTAAAAGAGAATTCCTATTTTATTATTTTATTTTCTTTTTTTTTTTTTTGCAAACAATTTTAGAGGCAGAGTGTTCAACTGATTGAAATGTCACAAGATTGACATTATTGCTTAAAGTGCTTGAATTGGTTACATTAAAAAAAATTAAGGTACAGATTATCCCAAATAAAAACTACATTTTTTTTAGCAACCAAACCAAATGAACGCTGCACAAATACAGTAACTACTTTTAATACAGAAACGGAAGCCAAAAATAAATTAACACGATGCGAGGAAAGAGAAAGGCAATTACGCAGAGAAGCAGAGAGAACTTCCGCTGGCCCGTGCCTCTCTCCTGAGCTCACCACAGCGCCGAGAAAGGGCCGGCCACTCAAACGGCAAACTTCATCACACATGAAGAAATGCAAGGTTTAAAGATAATAGCCATCTGCAATAAAACTACACTCGATATCTAACATAAGCGTTCTGCTCCACACAGTTCACAGCCACGGTCAGGAATGAAGGAGACCCATGGAAACCCACGCACGGGGGACACTTCAGTCTTTTTATTTTTCCCATTCCATCTTAAATCCAAAAGAAATCAGGCCATCCAACCACACACCACCCTCTTCCCATGCAAGCGGGCGGTCCATGGGTGTTGGTCCTTGCTAACTTCAAGCCGGTCCGCTTTTTACAGCCTGGGCACTAAACACACCGAAGCAGCAGGCCGGCCGCCAGCACTGTGCTCTTCAAGGAAGGGCAGCTGAGCCGCCCGTGCCAGGAGGTAACCAATGAAACAACGATGCACTCCCTTCGCAAAGTGCCCAACACCCAGCAGTGGGCACCGCGCGCTTCCGCCGCCCTGCTGCTGGACCTTTGTGCTCTCTGGGGGTCTGGAGAGGGCATCTCCCACCGCCCTCGGCTTTGCACCAGCAGTCGGGAACAGACAGCGACCGTGTTCACAGGCCACCAGCAAGAGATGCCCCGAGGCACAGATGCAGCTGCCAAGTCTGTCCCACCTGCCGAGGACGGAGTGGGACGCGGAGTGGGACGCAGCCGCCAGGCAGCTCCAGATCCCACACAGTGAAGGCGTGGGGGACAGATGCATTTTGGTCTATTCCGATCTTCTCTGTGTCATACAACCACTTTGAACACTGAATTTTAACTCGCTCTATTAAAAGAATTATTTCAGTAAAGTCACTGGAACATGTTTCACATACGCCCCTCCCTCCCAAAAAAATAAAAGACCAAACCTGTGACTTAGTGTATAAATACTACTCTTACCAGCTTCCAACTGAAACACTTTTGTCTAATAAATTAGCTTCAAGAGTTGTTTGAAAGACGATTTTAATAGTTTCTGTTAGGAATCAGTTCCAAACGTGTCAGAGTTGGACCTAGGTTCTCTGCAGCTTTGTAACTAGCAGCGCACGCGTTCCCCAGGGCAGGCACCTGCCCCTGGGGGGCGCTCCTGCTCCCAGATCAGCGATGGCTGCATGTTTAAGGAAAAATCAGAAAACTGTTTCTCAGTATGAATGTGCCCTTACACAGGCAAGGCACGTTTGTCGTCTGCATGAAGGTCACCCTGTTCGTCCTCTCTGGCGAAAAGCTTCAAGTAGGGACCGGCGAAGTGTGGGCGTGCGCACATCCGTCTCGTCTGCCAGCAAGTTCAAGATATTCCAAAAATACCAAATCCAGCTTGAGCTGGGTAAAGTGCTATCCTCCTCCAGGCCGCGCAGGGGCCTGAGTTCTCACTCGCAGTTGGCGTTCACATTACGCCCAGAGTGTCCTGGCCGTTTGCGCGTGTGCCGGGGGCCGGGCCTGCTCAGAGCACTGCGCAGGGGAACTGCCTGCCTCCCACACGGCAGCTACGTTGTAGTATTTATAGAAAACCATAAACCAGCAGAACACCAAACTGACCCTTTTAATCAAAGGTACAATACTCAAATGCTCTAATAAATACAGACATAACAAAAGTGAAAAATTAAAATTAAAAAAAAAAAAAAAGGCAAAGTCACTTTAGAGAAATGAGGTTCTTCCCGAACACTCCATCTTCTCGTGCCTTCTCAGGGTCTGAGCCAAGGAAACTGCCATCTGGCGCCAGCCTCCACCTGTCCGGAGAAGCCTTCCCTGGCCCGTCTTCCAGTCCAGCCAGCTCCAGGATGCCCTCCCCAGCAGGGTCAGCAGGTGGCTGAGGGCTCGGAGCAGTGCCCCAGCCGCTCCCCAAGAAGGACGCGGGTGCTGCCTGGCTGAGGAGGGCTGGGAAAGAGGCAGGCCCCACAGGGCCCCACAACATGGGGAGGACCTCAAAGCCGCACCGGCAAGGCAAGCTTGGCCATGCCAGACACGGCAGAACCGCAACCCACAGGAGCTAAACCCACACAGCCCAGCACATCTTCCTGAAACTTGGTTTTGGTAGAAAGGTAAAAAAGGGGACTCTGTTCTGTCCACATACGTCCTCCGCGTGGCCTTGCCTGCCCTGAGCTCCGCACTCCTCAGCCCTTGCAGACACGGTCTGCCACACAGCCTTGATCCCCTCTGTCCACACACACGTCCTCCGCGTGGCCTTGCCTGCCTGAGCTCTGCACTCCTCAGCCCTCACAGACATGGCCTGCCAACCCACAAGGCCTTGATCCCCTCCGCCCACACACACGTCCTCCTCGTGGCCTTGCCTGCCCTGAGCTCCGCTCTCCTCAGCCCTCACAGACACGGCCTGCCAACCCACGAGGCCTTGCTCCCCGCCACAGGCCACGTGGACGGGGCCGTGCGTGCGAGTCACTCGCTGCCACTAGCACACACTTGATACTGGAGGCCCAGGCTTTGGGGGGACACAGACACCGGAGGCAGCATTGAGGGGTCACACGTTACAGGAATGCACAGGAAGGAGACCCAGGTGGCCAGCACTGCCTCCATGGCAGGAGTGCCATCCCAGCTCGGCCAGCCAGAACGCGTGCGTGACAACCACCCAACCCCAACATGGCAGCTGCCAGGTCAGCCTTTCCTTCCGACAATCTCATTGCTGGGAATTCGACCTCACGCTAAAACCAAACCAAGAGTAGTGCTGCGTGGAAAACAGAGGGAGGGAGGCCAAGGTGGACCGTGGAGACCAGGAGTGACCTTGCGGGCGGCCGGCGGGAGGAGGCCAGTCTGCGGGGAGTCCAGGTCCCAGCGCCAGCTCACTTCCCCCGCGGCCAGTCGTCCCAGAGTCCCTTCGCTTATTCTCTTGACTGATAGAATAAAATATACCCAGATTCCGAATTTTTGGATATGTCTGATGTCAGGCCATAGAATTCCTCGATGGCTTGAGCGTCTATTTTCTACAATGAGGAAGAAACAAAACCATATGTGAGTTAGTAAGAGTCCCAGTGCAAGGGAATGAAGGAAATCCCCAATGACAGCAAGGAAACCCTCAAAGGCGAGCGGATCGTCCCATGCACGTGGCCGAGGAAAGCCAGCAAGGCAAGCCACACCCCCACCGCTCCACCGCCAAGTGGGGGTGCTGCTTCCAGCAAGCCACAGCAGCACCTTCCCCCTAATTGACCTTATCCTACCTCAAACTGCCACCCCTAGCCTGGCCCTCCACACCGACACATCCCCCATCCGGACCCTAGCCTGTCCCTACACCCCGACCCACTGACCTCCACGATGTCGTCATCAAACAGGAGCCAGAAGCCATGACTTTTCACAATGGTGATGTAATGCCCGCGATTGGGACCACTGAAAGGAAGGAAGAGCAGCGGGTCACTGTGGAGGCTCAGGGCGGGCTAGGGGTGGGAACTGACATGGGGAAAAGCGTACCAGGAATGTGGTGAACTGCTATCCGTGTCCAGAACTCAGGGTGGGGTGCCAGCCTGCCTAGGAATCCAAGTGTGTGCAAGCCAGAGGGCCTCCAAACAGCAGCCCACTGGGAAATCAGATCCTCAGGTCAGCAAAAACCAAGGAGCCATTACTGAAAACCTACTGCGGGCCAGGTCTTATCAGGGGGTCAGGAAAAGAACAGGGGGCAAACTAAACACACACACATGCACACACATGCACACACGCACACACATGCACACACACACACACACACACACACACACACACACACACACACTTTCTCAGGTCTCGGAACCACGGCTGACCAAGTTCCAGAATTCCACGAATGGGAAGAGGTCTCCACAGGGCACCAGCCTTGCAGGTGGCTGTTACCAGGGCTCTGCCAGCACGTCCTGGCCACAGCAGGTTTCCTCACAAGCCACCCAGTCCCTGCCCGTGCTCTCCCTCACGTGTGAATTGTGTAAGGCCTCCCACCACAGCAAAATGCACCAAGAGCTGCTCACCAGGCCTCTGGACTGCCACCCCCAGAATCAGGAGACCAGGACACTGCCCCAGCTGGTCCCAGCCCCGGCACCAGGACACTGCCCCAGCTGGTCACAGCCCCCAGCACCAGGACACTGCCCCAGCTGGTCCCAGCCCCGGCACCAGGACACTGCCCCAGCTGGTCCCAGCCCCCGGCACCAGGACACTGCCCCAGCTGCTCACAGCCCCGGCACCAGGACACTGCCCCAGCTGGTCCCAGCCCCGGCACCAGGACACTGCCCCAGCTGGTCCCAGCCCCCGGCACCAGGACACTGCCCCAGCTGGTCGCAGCCCCGGCACCAGGACACTTGGGGAAGGGGGGCAGGGGTAAGCTACACACAGGAGTAATTCAATGGGGTGGTAAATGTGCAGAGGAAGAGCCTGTGAGGACACTGGGGGACACAGGAGGTACAATGTGGCAACACGGGATCTGAGAAGAGAATTCTCCAGAAGGAAATGGGGATGGGGGTTGGGAAACATAGGCCATGTGGCTCCAAGATGGAATTTTCTAGAACAGATAACAGCAAATGCCAAGGGCCTGGGGCAGGGAACAGCAAGGCGGCCAGGTGAGCCAGGGTGAAGTAGAAGGTGGAGGGCCGGAGAGGCTGTGAGCTGAGCTGCCAGCAAGATTAGGGAACACCAGAGGCGGCTAAGGTTCAGAATCCACAACCAGGAATGCCGACTAACAACAGGGAATGGCAATCAGCAACACAGAAAGGGCAAAGCCACTCCCTGTCTGGCCAGCATCCCGGGGCCCCAGTTCAAGTCCTGGCTGTTCTAACTCCAGTCTAGCTCCCTGCTTATGTTTCCTGGGGAAGCAGTGAAGTGGTCCAAGAGCTGTGGCTCCTGCACCTACGGGAGAGACACAGATGCAGTCTTCTGGCTCCTGGCTTCAGCCCTTTGCAGCCCCAACCACTGGAGCCATTTAGAAAGTGAACCATCAGATGGAAGATCTCTCGCTCTCTGCCTTACAAATAAATAATCTTTTAAAAAGGAAAGAAAGGAAGAAAGGGGTAGGAAGAGAGAGAAAGAGAAATAAAGATAGAGAAAGAGGAAGGAAGGAAGGAAAGAAGGAAGGAGGGAGGGAGGGAGGGAGGGAATAAGCAACTGTCCCTAAGGGGGACTCTGTGCTGAGTTTATTGTATTTTTGCATTCTTGAACCACTTCAGATGGACTGCTTCTCATTAACCATACAGGAGGTATCCCCTGGCTCTGTTTGTCCCATAAGATCTATTAAGTAAATAGATCTTTTAAATAAAAAGGCAGAGTTACAAAAACAGAGAGGGGGGAGAGAGAGCGACAGAGAGAGATCTTCCATCTGCTAGGTCATTTCCCAAATGACAACATGTAATCAGGGCTATTCTACAGTCAGGAGCCAGAGCTTCACTCAGGCCTCCCATGTGAGCGCAGTGACCCAAAGCTTCTGGGTCATCCTCAGCTGCCTCCCAGACCAACCAGAAGTGGAACAGCCAGGACTTGAACTCGTACCGCTTTCAGTGCTGTCAGTACAGGCAGTGGCTTAAATCGGTTCCAGCGCAGTGCCAGCCCGTCTAGCCAGTTTTCTGCCTCTAGGTAAATACAAGGTTCCGAGAGCCACAACCTAGGGAGGGTGCAGCCAGGTCTGTTCTGGCAAAGCAAGAAGCTCCGTGTGGATGGGTGAGACCGCCTCACCTGCCACAGTGGACGACCACAGCCACCAGGTCATACATGCGGTCGAGGTTCACAGCGTCACTGGATGTGTTGAAGAGCCGCAGTTCCAGGGGGAAGACGACGCGGTAGGACAGCTTAGTGTACCGGTGCAGCTGCTCCATGTACTTGAACCGCTTTAGATGCAGGGCCAGAATCATGGGCAGCTTTTTGACTCTCATCCTAGGAGACCATGAAACAGTAAGCCAGCAGGACCCAGGAGCAGTGGGGGCTTATTTTATAACCAGGGGTGCAGGAGAGGCCCGCAGACCGAGTCAGCCAGGCAGCCACTCACTCGTGCCCACTCCCCACAGCACTGCCAGAGCAAAGCACAGCCCTCATGCATGTGTGTGTGCATGCGTGCGCACGTGTGTGGTCACAGGAGCCAGCCCTGAACAAGAACAATGCACTACTGCTTTCTGCTGCCCGAGAAAACTGCCCGGACAATCCAATCCTACAACACAGGAAGGGGCTGTTCAGCCTGGTGGTTAGAGTGCTGCATGAGACGCGGCCCACAGCACAACACCCAGGGTCAGGATACAGGTCCAGGTTCAAGGCCCAGCTTCCGGCCAACACAGTCAAGAAGCCCAGATGGCCAGATCCCTGCCACCCACATGGACACCAGGCTTTGACTGCAGCACAGGCTGCCATGATGCCAGCAGACGGACCATCTCTCCATGTTTGTCTCTGCTTTACAGATGAATCAACCTTTAAAATGCAATGAATCAGTAAATGGCAGTGAGGAAGGTGACCAGGGCAAGGGTGTGGTTGCTTGGGAGAACCTGAGGCCTGGCAGGTGGTTCCCTGGCATCGGGCATCAGGTATGCCAAGCTCACACTTGGGCCCACTGCTCCAACCTGCGAAAGCCAATCCCGTTGTCCAGCTTGGCTTCCTCATTCAAGGCAGGGGTTCTCTGGGGCCACCAAGGCAGACTGCAGAGCACCTGGTGCTGTGAGTAGTGGGGAGGTCTTCGCGGCCAGCAGAGGTCCCGGCCCAAGGCCTCCGACGCACACCAGTGCGCTGACGTTCTGTGAACCCTGCAAAAGGACCCGCTGCCTTGCTGCCGGGTGCAGTAACTCCCAAGCACAGGAGGGCCAGCGTAAAGGATACTGGTGTGCATTTCCATGTTGTGAGACTTGAAGAGCATGAATGCTAGGAGCATATTACTAAGAAATCTTCCTAGGTGAAACATCACCAGGACGCTAGAAACACAGGGCACTTGGCCTTCACAGGGACATGCACAACTTCCGGACTAGAGGCCACCTGCGTGCCACATATGGGAAGACCTGGGGCTGGCCTTGGGGCCACAAGGACAGCGACTGGGGCATCTCTCCCGTCTCTTACCTGCCTCCCACCTGCACTCTTGCCGAGGTGACCAACAAGGAAAGGTACACTGGTCTGGAGGGAGGATGGATAACAGCCTCCCACCTCAGGTCACCTCTGAGGGTCTGGCGGCAGCCCTGCGCACCTGAAAGCTCCCCTGACTGCTGCACCACCACTGCCATGCGGAACGACTGGTCACATGAGTGTGTCCAGAATCTGTCACTAGTCCTTCTTACCTCCTGTTCCGGCAGCTGCTGCCCTGCTCCCTCCAGACACAATCTACCACATGACAGACTTACTCTCTCAGGACGAGTCCAGTGTGCTAAGTGCCACTAACACCAACGCTGGGCACGTTGTCAGCCACATGTTAAGATCCAGCGCTAAGTCACTGATGTAACTTACCTTTAATCCCACTGTTGTGGTTGGCATATGACTCTGCCCTTGAACTCAGGCACGAGTCTGAACTCTGGCATCCTGAATCAATGCCACTCAAAGGCTGGAAAGTACCCCAACTGTGGAACTCAGAGCTGGGCCAGCACCGTAGAGCAGCAAGTAAAGCCACCGCCTGTACTGCCGGCATCCCATATGGACACTGGTTTGAGTCCTGGCTGCTCCACTTGCAATCCAGTTCCCTGCTAATGTGCCTCAGAGGGCATCAGAAGGTGGCTCAAGTCCCTGGTTCCTTGCAACCTTGTGGGAGACTCAAAGGAAGCTGCTGGCTCTTGGCTTCAGATCAGCGCAGCTCCAACCACTGTGGATATCTGAGAACTGAACCAGTGAATTGAAGACCTCTGTGTCTCTCCTTCTCCCTTTCTCTCTCTCTCTAACTCTAACTTTCAAATAAATAAACAAAACTTGAGCGAGACAGAGGGAGAAAGAGGAGAGGTAGGGTCCCTGGGCAGTAACTAAGGGGAGATTAGCTATACAGCAGTGCACCCTGGTAGCTTAGTGAGGAGAGAGAGGCCAGGGAGTGACAGCAACAGCCAGCCAGGCGCACGTGCCATGTGTTGTCCTGTATTGCCGGACTCTGCCAGCAGGAAGCCATCACGGAGCCTGCCTCACCTGCCTCAGGCATCTCATGACAGTTCACCCAGACAGGCTACGATGCTACTGCAGTCTCACCTGCCTTCCGGTGCAGGCATGGGCAGACACTCAGGTCTTGCTGAATGAATACACGAATGAATGACCAGACAATTGCACCAAGAAATGATCCTCCAAGGCTGCCATTCTAGCCCCCGTGAAGCCAGGCACATCGCACAGCTGGGTCCCCGCTCCCCAGCCCAGGCTGCCTGAGCCAAACGTGCGCCTACCTTTTCTGGGCCTCCTGCTTGCTGCAGCAAGTTTCACAGTAATACTTCTGCTCACTGCACAGCGTCTCGGTGTTGCTGAAATCTCTGTAGAGAAAACACTGATGTACGTTCTGTAGGTCACATGGGAACCCAGAGCTGCTGGGGGAGAGTGGGCAGAGAGCCACTCGGCGAACAGCCCTCTGAGACCTGGGGCTCTGTGCCCGGCCGCAGGTGCACAAGCTGGGTTAGGAATACACCATGGAGAGTTTTCACATGTAACTTTCTAACACAGGTAGACATTAACTGGGATTTCCCAGTAAGACAGGGACAAACATATGATTTAACAGAACACCTGCCAACTGAAAACTAAAAATAACAATAGAAAAACACTGCCAATAGTAAAAGTATCATGAATGCACTAGGCTGAGAAAAGCAGGTTAAAACTTAAGATAATGGTGCAGGCACCACGGTGCTGGTTTGAGCCCTAGCTGCTCCACTTCTGATCCAGTTTCCTGCTAATGACCTTAGAAGACAGCAGAAAAGACCCAAAGCCTTCAGACTCTGCACCCACATGGGAGACGCTTTCAGCTCTGACATCGGCCTAGCCAGCTGACACCACTGCAGTCATTTGGGAAGTGGATCGGTGGATGTAAGCTCTCTCTGCCTTGCGCCCCCCTCCCCAACTCTTTAAAACAAAGAAACCTTGGAAAATAAATAAATAAAACAAAAATCAAGATAGACAAACCAGGAGACAAGTACATGGCAAAGACTAGAATGTACTTGCTACAGAACAGGGCGTCCTCAGAATCAGCAGAAGGAATTTCTTACGGAGGACTAAGTCGTCCAATCTAAAAGCTCTGGAAGAATTAACAGCCCTGACCTTTCTAGCCCTGGGAGAGTATTTTATTTTTTTATTTAAAAATTTTCTTTCTAGCATTATTTATATGATTGTGAGGGATTCACAGCTGTGCGGGCCTCTGGCTGGGGGGAGGCTCAGGTATGGAGGATGGGGAGGGGAGGAACATTTCACTTTTGGTTTGGCTTGGTTTTTCTCCTGTGCTCACCAGACAGGAAGGAGAGGCAGCTGCTGTTTGCTGGTCAGACTGCATCAGCACCCGGGATGGTGGGCAGTTACTCAGTGTGGTAATTCAGTGACACCTTCGAGACCCTAATGTGGGAAAGGATGGTACCTGAGAGGCTTATAAGCTCTGAGAAGTTGTTGGTTTCATAGCTCCAGGGTTGAGAAAATCTTTGTAAGGTCTATTGGTTGACAAAGTCCACCTTTGTGCATCACACACCCAGAAATGCACAGCAAAGTTTGGTGGAGAAGATCGTCCAACCTGTTCCACTTTCCAACATCTGATGAGGCACTCCATGTTCCCTGCTGGCCTAGAGGAGCTGGCCATCATGTCCCCTGGGGTACCTGGGCTCCACACCACACAGGCATCAGTCACAACACATGCTCCCCAAGGTAGGATCATTTATTTTGTGATTTTTCCCTCTGGCTGGGCTCTGAGTGCAATTGGGTAGCCCCCCAAGAAAACCTGCCTGGTGTGACCTCAGGCTTGACTCTTGAGGGCACCAGCCAATGTACATACCGGTGGACACAGCTGCCTGGTCAGTTCTGCCCCAACCTGCTGGGGTCCATAAGTGTGGAAGACTGGTGTAGAAGAATATTGTTCCATTGCAGGCAGGGCCGCAAGGAATTACCGCTGCACGGCAGGGCCCGGCAGATGTCTCTGCATCCACCTGAAGGCATTTCCACCTCCCTTTGCATGGACACTGGACAACCCCGCTGCAATTTCTGTAATCTATTTAGGCATTGTCTGACACTGCGGAGTTGGTCTTTACTATCAATGTGAGCTTGAAAGCTGATGCTGCTGGTAACGTCTTGACAAAAGAGCTGGTAATGTCTTGGCAAAACAGCCAGAGACAATTCATGCTGTCTCTGTCCCTGTCTCTGCTGCCCCCATTGGCCATGCTTGATCTTTAGGTGCCTCCTTCCATGATGCATTTCCTCCCTTAACTGATTCAAGATTAGGTTGTTGAATGAGGATTGTAGTAGGAATGTGTTACTGATTGATATGCACCATCTACTGAGAACTTCTTGACCACAGGGTCAGGATGGATAAAATCCTGCTTTAAGGTGAAACAAATGGCAGAATTATCCTTAGAAACACCCACCTGACCATGATGTAAAAAGTCTGTGCCAGAGTTTGACTGCTTCTGTATAAATAAAGGGGACAGCTTTCCCTCATTGTCCAACATGATCCTGGAATTGCAGTGGTCCATTTCTATTCTCTTTGTGTCTCATCCACGCACCCTTCTCGAGCCCCGAACTCAGCTGGAGCCCCAAATCGCATATGAACCAATGGGTGCTGCAGCCCAGCCCAGCCCAGCCCACCAGCCACAGACCCAGTCCTCAGGCATACCAGTGGTGCCATATTTATTTGGGGCAACCCCCAATAATTCCCATCAGGCTGCCTCCAGACCCAATTTTTGTACTTGCCAGCCTCTGCTGCAACCTAGCCCAGCCCAGTCCAGCCCACACCCATCTAGCTTTCATGCACACCCATGGGCGCTACAGCTTAGTTCAGCCTGTTCCACTGTCAGACCTGGCCCACACATACAAGAACATGTGTCATCACCTTGTTCAGTCTGGCCCTGTCCCTAGCCCTTTGTTCTCATGTTCACCAGCAGGAGTGACAGCTCAATAGGGGACAGCCCACAGTTCTCCTGCCAAGTATGTTTCCAGCTCCAGATCTTGTACCTGCTAGGTGCTACCGCAGTCTAACCTGACATGACTAGCACTCAGTCCTGGCACCTGCCATCAGATGCTGGCCTGCACCCATTCTAGTTCTCTCTCATGCCAGCAGGTATGACAGCCTAACCTAGCCTGGCTGGTTTACACCCAGACCCAGCCCAAATGCCAGCTGATGCTGGTGGGTGCTGCAGCCCTGCCCAAACTGTCCCACCCCCAGTCCCAGCTCTCACACTTACCTATGGAAGCAAAAGCCCAACAGGGGGGAACCAGAGATTCCCTGTTAGGCTCACCCCCAGCCCTGGGACTCACATGTGCCAGCAGGTGCTGTGGTCCTGCCTGAGACATCCTTCCCCAAGTCAGTATTCACCAGCAGGTGCTGCAGCCTACTTTTATTTTAAGATCTATTTATTTACGTGAGAGGTTCAGTGAGAAAGAGAGAGAAAGAGATTGTCCATTTGCTGGTTTACTCCCTGCATGGCTGTAACAGCCAGTGCTAGGCCACACCAAAGCCAGGAGCCTGGAGCTTCTTCTGGGTTTTCCAGATAGGTGCAGGGGCCCAAATACTTGGGCCATCCTCTGCTGCTTTCCCAGACCATCAGCAGGGAGCTGGACTGGAGTGGAGCAGCTAAGACTCACGTGAATTTCAACAAGAGACCAAGAGACAGGCAGAGGACAAAGATGGTGTCACAACACACAGCACTTGAGGAGCCCTGGGAAGGGTCCAAAAGGCCAGGCAAGGATAATTAACATCAGCCGGAGCAGCTCAAGCTTTCACTTGGGGCCATTCCTATCCTGAAATGGAAACACAATCTTTCCCAGCTTCCTCCTCTCAAAGGACAAGCATCGCTCAGGACACACAGCAATGGGCAGATGTGACTCCATTTTGGTTCCTTTAGTAAGTTTCAAGCACAGCTAACTGGAGCTCTCTGTTTTTGTAAATACACTTGCAGGCTGATTGGTTTAAAGTATGGCCTGAACTTAAGGTGACTGGATTACTTTGTGTTGTACGCCACTTAAATTGCGTGATTTATAATGCAAATCAAAGTTGACTGAATTGCTTGTGATGTGCTGATGTGCACCACCCAGATTGACTGGATAATTTGTACTCTGTGCCAATTAGAATGTGGTCCACTGATTGGATGGTTTGAGAAAAAAAAAATCTCTGGATGCTGCACACCAGTGGGAGCCTGAACACCCTGAATTTGGCCATGTGGCACAGCGGCTCCTGGAGTGCAGAAGGAGCTGCTGTCATCAAGCTTGACTACTGAAGCCCTCCTTATACCTGTGTCCAGCGGGCTTGCTCTGACTCTCTGTGACACTGCCATTGTTCAAATCGGAGCCAAGCAGCCTCTCGGGGACCCCAGGAGCCCAGGCCACCACTGCTACAGGTTCTTGGGATCCGAGTTCAATAAACGCATGGAAACCCATTACCCAAAGTCTGTCTGGAAAGAGTAGGCAGCTGCCACACTCCAACCCTACACTGGCGGCGGGGGAGAAAGGCACACGACCCAGCTAGCATCACCTGTGCCCAGCATCTGTCTCCTGTGCTTCCTTCCCTTGCCTCATCCCTTTCTCTCTCAACACAGGCTGGAAAGACGCCACCACAACCCAAGACTTCCCAACAACACTGCACCTTGCAGCTCCTCTCTTCATGTCTGTATAACAGCAGACATGGGTGCCATCAGTCAAGGTCAAGTTTGAGGGCAATGTAAAATGGGAGGTGGAGCAGGTGTCTATCACAGTGGAAAAGATATTACTTGGGACACCCACATGTCATCCTGGAGTGCCTGGGTTCAGGTCCCCTCTCTGACAGTGCATACTCCGAGAGGCAGCGGGTGCTGGTTCTGGCGACCTGCCCTTCATGTGAAAGACCCTGGCTGAGTTCTCAGGTCCAGGTCTCAACTTGGCCATCCTAGCTGCTGCAGTCACCTCGGGAGTGAACCAAAGCAGGAAAGATCTCTGTTTCTCTCCCCTCTGCTTTCCAAATAACATAAATCTTCTTTCAGATGGGGGTGAGGACATTGCAAGAACACCAGTCTACACAACCCAAGAGATGGAATGGGATGACCTTTACAAGTGCACAGAGGCCACTCCATGCCCAACTTCCTGGTTTCAGGCCACCCCAGCGCACAGAGCCCAGCTCATCAGATCCCCATTACCAAAGGGAAGTCAACCCAGAAGGCTCACTGCCTCAACCTTTTCATGAACTGCCTGGGGAGTCACATCACGGGATTGATGTGGCACAAACCTTGATAACCACGGACCATCTGTGCTACCCAACCAATGCTTAATGATCAGGAAGCAACAACATGGGCCAAGTACAAAGGCCAGCACAGGCCTGTCTCAGGGCATCACGAAGCACACAGCTCCGCGGTCTCAGCGCAGGCCTGTCTCAGGGCATCACGAAGCACAGGCCCGTCTCAGGGCATCACGAAGCACAGGCCCGTCTCAGGGCATCACGAAGCACAGGCCTGTCTCAGGGCATCACGGAGCATAGGCCTGTCTCAGGGCATCACGAAGCACAGGCCTGTCTCAGGGCATCACAAAGCACACAGCTCTGCGATCTCAGACCACTGTCCAACGTGGCCTTAGACGCAGTCTTGGACTTGTCCGCACTCATGAACCACTGCCTGCAGAATCTGACCTTGGTCTCCGGCACCAGCAGTCTATGAACTCAGATTCCAGGCACTGTCTGCCCTGCTCTTCTGTATCAAGTCACTGTGTGTGTGTGTGTGTGTGTGTGTGTGAGCATAGACGTGGGTCATACTTCTTTACACACCAGTTCCCCAACAGCTGACATTACTCCTGACCACTTTGCCCCTCACACAGCTGAATGGTCTCCAAGCCCAGCCGTGCCACCTACCCTCCTGACAGCAGAAATTGGCTGGAAGTGTTGGGAAGCAGCCGACATCTCTAACTCCAAATACTCACCAAGAAGGGAAATGGCTAAATTTTGCCTTTTCCCCTAGTCCCATTTCTGCCACTAACATTGGCACAAAACTTTTTCCAGGCCCTGTAATCATAAACTCAATAATGGCATATTAGAAACTTGTGCCACTCTCTCTTCTCCCTCTGGCCTGCCACCCCTTTCTCCTCCTTCCCCCTCGCCTTCCCACCACCCAGAAAAAGGTCCCTCTACCACAGGGGACATGCCACAAGCCCAAAAGACAAACTCATCCTAGACACCTGGACCACAACGCTTGGAGACAGGAGGCTCAGCCGCAGCCAGTGGGCAGTGGGAAGGCAGCCAGCGACTCCCTCTCACACGCAAGGCCTGTAACCTGCTCTACAGGACTCCAAGTGGGGCCAGTGTTGTGATACAGTGAATTAAGCCACTACCCACAACTTGCCATCACACATGGGTGCCAGTTCAAGTCCCAGCTCCTCCACTTCCGATCCAGCTCCCTACTAATGCACCTTGGAAAGCAGCAGAAGACAAGTTCAAGTGTGTGAGTCCCTGCTGCCCACGTCCTGGCTCTGGCCAGACATTGGAGAAGTGAACCAACAGACGGGAGATTTCCCCCTCTTTCTCTTTCTGTAACTATACCTTGCAAATAAAAATACATCTTTAAAAAAAATGCTTAAAAATAATGAAAACAAAATGCTCAGTAAGGTGCACTCCATCCCAGCTGTTACTGAGAGATCCACAGCACCTTGCTGTGCAGCCCCAAATGGCTCTGGGTCGGAACCCACATGCCCAGGAGAGGAAGGTGCACACACCCAGCCATCGCCCAGTGGCCCCGCTCCACACAGGCCTATAGAATTGAAATCAAAATGGAGTAAACATGACTCATTGCTAACAATACTTCTCGCTTTTTAAACCCCTGCTTTGCTTGCTTGGCTATGAAACTGTAGAGACTGTGAGCTCACAGATGGTGCCCAGTCCCAAGGAATCAAGGTCCGAGACGACTGTCTCATGGACGTCACCAAGGCCTGAGTGGGGTTATCTGCACTGCCGGACTGGAGGGCAGATGGACACAGGCTGCCCAGCTGCTAGGCAGGGAACGTACAGCACCCCCTCTCCTGCTACACTGCCCCATAGCAGCTCTGTAAATGTGCTGTTCAGGCTGCCCTCTGGTAAGGTGTGTCACTCCTGGTTGCTCGGTCGGGTGCCTTCACTCTCACTGTCACTAGGGCTTTGTGCTGTCACTAGTGCATGGAACATTCTGTTTTAGCGGCCAGGTGGGTGCAACAGGTCCACCTGCTTCCAAGCACTGACCCTGACTGTGTTCTTGTAAGGCCTTTCCAGCGCTCACATCCTCCTGCTGGAAGCGGGCAGGTGGGAAGGGGACCCTGTCTCCAGGGCAGCAGGGCAGTCCCGGGTGTGTCCCTCTGGCCACCCAGGTCTCTCCTCATCTCTGCAGCATCCCACCCCTGCCTTCTCCAGAGAGGCATTTCCTCCCCATGAGTGGTCTCCAAAGACACCGAAGGGATCTGGGGGAGGCACGTCCTTCACTGGTTCTCAGGACGAAAGGTCAAATCATTTAAGAGACACACTGCCTGAACAGAGTACGAGCAGGGAGCTGCACCACTTACTGAGCCGTAGGTTGTACATGTGTGAGTGAGTGTGGGAGAGGACTGGGAGGGTGTGAGGGTCTGTGTGAGGATATACTATTGTAATAATATGGGGAAATACGACAGGGGACGGAATATGGGGAGCTAGGGGAAATCCTACAGCCTATGGAATCGTACCAAAAACTAAACAGAGAAGAGAAAAAAGAAGAGTCTGTATGAGCACAAGCGTTAGAGTGTGTACGAGTGTGGAACTGTGGGACTGCTCCGTGGACATGCACGTGAGTGTGTGAGTGTGGAATCATGGGACTGCTCCGTGGGCACGCACATGAACATGTTAGTGTGGATCTGTGGACTGCTCCGTGGGCACGCATGTGAGTGTGTGAGTGTGGAACTGTGGACTGCTCCGTGGGCACGCACGTGAACGTGTGAGTGTGGAATCGTGGGACTGCTCCGTGGGCACGCACGTGAGTGTGTGAGTGTGGTTCTGTGGGACTGCTCCATGGGCACGCACGTGAACGTGTGTGTGGATCTGTGGGACTGCTCCGTGGGCACGCACGTGAGTGTGGATCTGTGGGACTGCTCCGTGGGCACGCACGTGAGTGTGAGTGTGTATCTGTGGGACTGCTCCGTGGGCACGCACGTGAGTGTGAGTGTGGAATCGTGGTACTGCTCTGTGGGCACGCACGTGAGTGTGAATGTGTGAGTGTGGGCCTGCTCTGTGGGCACGCACGTGAGTGTGAGTGTGTATCTGTGGGACTGCTCCATGGGCACGCACGTGAGTGTGTGAGTGTGGATCTGTGGGACTGCTCCGTGGGCACGCACGTGAGTGTGAGTGTGGATCTGTGGGACTGCTCCGTGGGCACGCACGTGAGTGTGAGTGTGGATCTGTGGGACTGCTCCGTGGGCACGCACGTGAGTGTGAGTGTGAGTGTGGATCTGTGGGACTGCTCCGTGGGCACGCACGTGAGTGTGTGAGTGTGGATCTGTGGGACTGCTCCGTGGGCACGCACGTGAGTGTGTGAGTGTGGATCTGTGGGACTGCTCCGTGGGCACGCACGTGAGTGTGTGAGTGTGGATCTGTGGGACTGCTCCGTGGGCACGCACGTGAGTGTGTGAGTGTGGATCTGTGGGACTGCTCTGTGGGCACGCACGTGAGTGTGTGAGTGTGGATCTGTGGGACTGCTCCATGGGCACGCACGTGAGTGTGTGAGTGTGGTTCTGTGGGACTGCTCCATGGGCACGCACGTGAGTGTGGATCTGTGGGACTGCTCCGTGGGCACGCACGTGAGTGTGAGTGTGGAATCGTGGTACTGCTCTGTGGGCACGCACGTGAGTGTGTGAATGTGGAATCGTGGTACTGCTCCGTGGGCACGCACGTGAGTGTGAATGTGTGAGTGTGGGCCTGCTCTGTGGGCACGCACGTGAGTGTGAGTGTGTAACTGTGGGACTGCTCCAAGGGCACGCACGTGAGTGTGAGTGTGAGTGTGGATCTGTGGGACTGCTCCGTGGGCACGCACGTGAGTGTGTGAGTGTGGATCTGTGGGACTGCTCCGTGGGCACGCACGTGAGTGTGTGAGTGTGGATCTGTGGGACTGCTCCGTGGGCACGCACGTGAGTGTGTGAGTGTGGATCTGTGGGACTGCTCCGTGGGCACACACGTGAGTGTGAGTGTGGATCTGTGGGACTGCTCCATGGGCACGCACGTGAGTGTGTGAGTGTGGATCTGTGGGACTGCTCCAAGGGCACGCACGTGAACGTGTGAGTGTGGATCTGTGGGACTGCCCCGTGGGCACGCACGTGAATGTACGAGTGTGGATCTGTGGGACTGCTCCGTGGGCACGCACGTGAGTGTGAGTGTGGATCTGTGGACTGCTCCGTGGGCACGCATGTGAGTGTGAGTGTGAATCTGTGGGACTGCTCCGTGGGCACGCACGTGAGTGTATGAGTGTGGATCTGTGGCACTGCTCCGTGGACACGCACGTGAGTGTGAGTGTGGATCTGTGGACTGCCCCGTGGGCACGCACGTGAACGTGTGAGTGTGTGTACTGTATGAGGGAAAGCATGTGTCTATATGTTGAGTGTGTGTATGTTTACTGTGAGAATGTTTGTGAATATGTGTAAGAGTGCAAGTGTGTGAATGTGTATGTGTAAGCATGTGTGTATATGTTGAATGTGTGTTTGAATGTGGATTGTAAGAACGTGTGTAAATGTGTAACTGTGTGTGAATGTGTACCTGTGAGCATGTATGGGTGTGTACGTGTCTCAGTGTTGGTGTGCATGCGTACACGAGTGTGTGTGAGTGTGTGTATGAGTCCAAGCATATATACCCTGTGTTGAGTGCAGACGTGTGTATGTGAATGTCAGTGTGTAAATGTGTATGTGCAAGCATGTGTGCATGAGCTGAGTGTGGGTGTGAACGTGAGTGTAAACGTGTGACTATACTAGTGTACCTGTGTATGTGTGTGCACGTGGCTGACAGCCAGCGGGAGAGCCCAGTGACGGGAGCCAAAGCCCGGGCTGCGGAGACGGGACCTCCCTGAGCACACCCACCTCGCTCTCTCCACGGTCACACTCAGTCTACTCTCTCGGGAAGAAGAAATGAAACATAATGAGACACTGGGGCAGGAAGAGATTCTCTCCTGGCAGAACACACCCTGCTCCTCCCGCGTCTGTTTGACATCTGAGTGCCACATGCACCTGCAGCTGCCACCGTGAAGTTACCTCAGACAGTGCGTGATGGACGTGTTCTGTTCCACATCAACAGAAAGGTCAAGAAAATCTTCATCTTTGCTACTAACCTGAAGCCAAACACAGGGTTGGGGAGAGAGAACAACATGTTAGGTACACAATATGTTAACAGACCTAACAGAGAAAACCAAACATTTACAGATCAGCGAAAAACTCCCATGCGCCAGCGCCGGGCAGCACGTTACACCACCTAAGACTGCTTCCATTCCCGGCCACCAATACAAGTCCAGAACACTCCATTCAACGGCACAATACACACTTTTCAGCTCAGTGTTTCTCACAGTCACAATTTTGCCTGCAGGGGACAACGCCTCCGGACACTGTCCATTGTCTGGCGGCCAATGGGGGAGGCCAAGGGTGCTGCTCTCCTTTCTGTACCACCCCAGTCAGCCCCAGACCCAATAATTATCTGGGGGCTGGCATGGTGACACAGTGAGTCTAACCAGAGCCTGCGACACAGCAGCCCGCATGAATGCCGGCCTGAGTCCTGGCTGCTCCACTTCCGATCCAGCTCCCTGTTGGAGCACTTGGGAAAGCGGTGGGAGATGGCACAAGTGCCTGAACCCCTTCCACCCTCACAAGAGACCCAGACTGACTTCCAGGAGTTGGCTCTGGCCTGGCCATTTGGGGAATTCCGTCCCTGTATAATCCTGCTTTCAAATAAACAAAATAAAATTCTAAAAAAAAAAAAAAAGTAATCCACAACATCAAAACTTCCAGGGGTTGAGAAAGCCCTGCACGCAAGTCCAGATGGTGGAGCACACACACTCGGCGCATTCCCTAACCATGACAGAATCAGAAACCAGTACCATCACATTCAGGAAAACACCAAATAGCTGGAAACTAAAAAATATGTCCCTACCTAATGCACGCGTCAAAGAAAAAAAAAAGTCACAAGAAAAATTAAGAAATAGTTTGAATTAATGGCAAAGAAAATACAGCACCAGGGCCTGGCTCTGTGGCACAGCAAGGAAAACCACCACCTATAGTGTCAGCATCCCACGCGGGCACCTGTTCAGGAGCCAGCCACCACCCCATGCGGGCACCTGTTCAGGAGCCAGCCTCCACCCCACATGGGCACCTGTTCACAAGCCAGCCTCCACCCCATGTGGGGACCTGTTCACGAGCCAGCCTCCACCCCACGCAGGCACCTGTTCAGGAGCCAGCCTCCACCCCAAGCGGGCACCTGCTCAGGAGCCAGCCTCTACCCAATGTGGGCACCTCTTCAGGAGCCAGCCTCCACCCCACGTGGGCACCTCTTCAGGAGCCAGCCTCTACCCCACGTGGGCACCTTTTCAGGAGCCAGCCTTTTTGGAAAGGGTTGGTCTGGATTTCAGTGGGGGGCACAGAGGCCTTTTCTCTTGCAACGAAGCTTCCAGAAGGGGAAGCACCCGTTTCCCTGACCTTAGATCTGCCACATCCAAGGCCAGCATTTGGCCTGAGTGGACTCAGAGGCCTCGGAGGTTGGCCCCAAGGCTGTGATACTCTCAGCAAGCACAGGTTTGGCCTCTCTGCTCTCATCCAAGTCTGAAGCAGAGAATAAAACTCCCAGAAGCTCTGGTTTAAGGGAGAGGGGCTGGTGCTGTGGTGTAGCACATTAAGCCTCTGCCTGCAGTACAGGTATCCCATAAGGGAGCTGGTTCACACCCCAGCTGCTCCATGTCCAATTCAGCTCCCTTTCCTGCCAATGCACTTCAAAAATCAGTGGAGGATGGCCACAGAATCTGGGCCGCTACAGCCACCTGCAAGATTCAAAAAGGCTTCCTGGCTGCTAATCAGCCAGGACACAGCAGCTGTGGCATTTGAAAAACAAACCAGAGGACAGAAGATCTCTCTGTATCTCTCTCCCCTCTCTGTAACTGCCTTTCAAATAAATAGATAAATCTTAAAAAATAATACTAATAATAACAAATAGGCCTGGCGTGCTAGCCTAGTGACTAGAGTCCTCGTGCCTTGCACATACCAGGATCCCACACGGGTGCCAGTTCGTGTCCTAGCGGCCCCTCTTCCCATCCAGCTCCCTGCTTGTGGCCTGGGAGAGCAGTCAAGAATGGCTCAAAGCCTTGGGACCCTACACCTGCATGGGAGACCCAGAAGAAGCTCCAGGCTCCTGGCTTCGGATCGGCTCAGCTCCAACAGTTGCAGCCACTTGGAGAGTGAATCAACAGATGAAAAATCCTTCTCTCTCCTTCTGTCTGTATATCTGACTTTCCAATAATAAAAAACTTTCTTTAAATCTTAAAAAAAAAAAAGGAGAAGGGCAAAGGAACCCCTACTTCCCCTACTTGCTTTTCTTTCTGAAGTAATTGGTTACAAACCAATAAAGAGGGTCCAGTGCAATGGCTTAATTGGCTGATCTTCCCTCTGCAAGCCCTGGGATCCCATCAGGATGCCAGTTCATGTCCTGGCTGCCCCACTTCCCATCCAGCTTCCTGCTTATTGGCCGGGGAAAGTAGCAGAGGATGGTCCAAGGCCTTAGAACCCTGTTCCCACATGGGAGACCTGGAAGAAACTCCTGCCTCCTGGCTTCCGATCAGCTCAGTTCTGACCACTGCAACCATCTGGAGTATGAACTGGCAAATGGAAGACATTTGTCTCTCCTCCTCTCTGCAAATCTGCCTTTTCAATATAAACAAATAAATCTTTAAAAAAAAAAAAAAAGACAAATCTGTGTCAAGGCCACACACACACATACCCGTCAGAGGCGGTGTTGAGCTCACAACCTTGCTTCCTACCCAGAGTCCTCCCGGGCCCAGCAGCAGCCCCATGCTGCTCAGCTGAGAACAGGTAACAGCACAGGGCGGGGCCAGGCACGGCGGACACTTCCACCACCCGAATCCGGGGATCAGACTCTCCACTGAGGGAGCACACCCCCACATCACCCAGCCCCCTACTGGGTCTGCAAAGTGGCCTGAACCGATGGCCAGTGTGGCCCTGGGCACATCTAAGAAGAAGAGAGACCTCACCTGCTGTGCACCCCCAAACAAGTGCACAAGCTGGACCCCAGCCAGGGGCAAGGCAGCAGCCAGGCACTGCAGCCGGTCTCCACATCAGTGGGGGCCCAATCCTCGAGGCCCATGCTGCCTCCAGGGCGTGCATTAGCGGGAAGCTGGAGTGAGGAAGCCAACCCAGGACTCTACTTTGGGCTGCGGCCTCCTAACCACTAGGCTAAATGGCCTCACTGCCACAATGCTTGATGTGCTTTGTTTTAAGATCCCAGAGAAACACTGGAAGTCCAGATTCACACAGCAAAACTTCAACTTAAATGGGAAGGGAGAAAACGGAAACAGACAGCATAATTCAGCTGCAGCCGGCCTAACGAAGCTTACGAGGCAAATAGAGACAATCAAGGAAGCGGTTGCTGGCTGCGGTGCAGAACCCTCAAGCTCCAGTTCCGAGGAGCCCTTATCAAGGTTATCAGGAAAAGTCAGCCACCAACTGCCCCTCAGCCACTCTGCAGCTCTCCTGCCAAAGGAATCTGTAAATCCCACGGCTGACATTTGCTCTGCAAGCAGAAGCAACGTTCGCCAGGACCGAGCCGCATGGGGCAAACCTCGTGGCTTTTGTGAGACACAAAGGCTGGCACTGCTCGCACTGAGGTTTCCCCATAACTGGAGGAGTCAGAGGCTGAGCGGGCACGGGGGCAAGGAGCCCCTGCGGCTAAGCGGCTGCTCAGGACCTAGGGCACCGGAATCCCACCACGGGGTGGCACACACATGGATCCCCCAGGCAAAGACCTTCATGGTGGGTGGCACCACACTTCCCATCCTACAGAGGACATAGTGGCACCACGCTCTGTCCACTCTAATTCACTAACTCCTGCCACCCTGTTGCACAATGCCAAGCAGCCTGCAGGGCACGAGCCTTCTTAGAAAGTGAGGGCTTTCCAACAATTGGAGCTTTCTAAAAATAGAAGGCATCGCCTTGGGAGATTGGGTTCCCTGCCTCTGGACGCAGTCCTTCAGAGGCCGGTGACCCAGCTGGCCAACACATCACAGCAGGGACTGGCACACTGGGAGGAGAGCTATTACAGGACTCCCAGGATCCCATCCAGTCAAAGGGTCTAAAAACAAAATGGCAGTGACTGAGCAGGTGACTTCAGAGGGAACGACACGCCCGCCTCCAGCCATCTAACCACTGCACAGGGAAAACCAGGATGTGCAACACGGTCCACACGCTCTCAACGACTTCACACTGCCAGCACCCACAGGCAGTATCCCACTATGCACACACCTGGGGGTCATCTCTCAGGACCTCTAAGACCAAGACTTCCTACCCAGACCCTTGGGACCTCAGACACTGGGCGACAATTCCTGTACTGCAAATTTCCCAGGATGCGATACTTGCCACTACTGGGATCATCCTCTCTAATCCGGGACCGAGCGGTGGATGTGAAGACACCATTTAGGATGCATGCAAGTCCTGGCTCTAGCCCCTGGTTCCCGCCTCCTGGCTGACGCGGGCCCTGGCAGGCAGCACTGACGGCTCACCCTGCTGGGTCCCCAGACACTCACTGGGGAGACCGGCAGTGAGTTCCTAACTCCCAGCTTTGGCCCGGCTCAGCCCCACCTACTGCAGGTGTTCAGGGAGGGAACCAGCAAAGGAAAGGTTTGCATTACTCCCTCTCCCACCCCACTGTCCTCTCCCTGTTTCTCAAATCTGTTGTTTTTCAATGTGACTGAGCCTAACAATGTTGGGACAGGTGCTAAAGCAGAGCAGGATAAGCCACTGCCTGGGACGCCCACACCCCATAGTGGAATGCCAGATTCGAGTCTTGGCTGCTTTACCTTTGTGACCCCCGCTTCTAACTAAAGTACCTAGAAGGCAGCAGAAGATGGCCCAAAGACCTGAGTCACAGCCCCCTGCACGGGAGACCTGACCTCTCCATGAGCAACATCGTCTCAAGACAACAGGTCGAGGTCCGGCTCAGTGCTTCAACAAGTGGACTGCATACTGCCCACAGTGCAAGGCCAGCCAATGCACGGCAACCCGCACCTCTCACAACCCAGACATCGCTTTGGCACAGCTGTCTATAAGTTTGCACATGAATTGCACACTTGCGCTGGGTCTGTTGGTGTATAGCAGAGGCAGCTGCTTTGCGCTGCTGTACCACGCCACACACAGCACAGCCCCAGGGAGCAGGCACGTGTCCCCAGTACTCACAGTTTCACAGTTCAAACATCGGGTTTCATTGGTGAGCGTTCCCTGAAAAATCTCATGGACCCATGTGAGCTCCGGCTTGCTGTTCTCAGCAGGCTCATTCATGTTGCCATTTTTTAATTTTCCATTCTGCTTCTCCTGCTTCTTCTCTTCCTGCAGGATGTCGGCGATGGTGTTCAGCAGGTAATTTAAAAACTCGTGGGCATCCTGCTGCATGTAGTTATCAAAGAGATCTGAAAGGTAGAGGACCAACATTCCAATGCGCTTCACCAAGCGCAAACAGTCACACTCAGCCTGACAGGCCACACGTGGATGTGTGGAAAGGGTGGGCACAGAACAGGAACAGCCCACAGTTTCCACAGGCAGGTCTCCAAAGCACTTGCTCATTTCTATCTTGTGCCACCCACCAAGATCTAATGTGCAGTAACTCCCCAGATTTGTACGTCTAAGACACCAGCACAACTTGTATTGGAAGACATTCCCTGTAAGTGCGAGACTGAATAGCGTGTGACCACCAATGCTCACTATTCATTGGGTCGTTTACCCCAAGCAACTGGGACCTCTTGTCCAGGATGGCAATAAGCCCCAGACCAGCCTGGAAGCAGCTTGAATGGAACAGATGAGAGATAAGAAGGCAGTGTGCGTGGGTACCTATCTCACCAACATCTAGCTGCTGCTGCCTCCCAGCAGACATACGGGACACCTGAAGAATGCCACGGCCACCGAGACTGCCAGGCTCTGCTTCCTCCCCCACTCAACTCAATGAAATAACACACACTGAACACTCTAAGTCTGTGGGAGTAAGGTTCAACCTAAGACAAGACACATATCCAGAGTCATAAAAAACTACCAATGCAGGGGCCAGCACTGCACACAGCAAGGTAACCCACTGCCTGCGATCTCAGCATCCTGCGTGAACGCAGATTCAAGTCCTGCTGCTCCACTTGGGAAAGTCATGGAAGACGGTCCAAATGCTTGGGTTCCTGCCACACGGGAGATGCAGAGACAGTCGACTCCAGAGGCCAGCACTGCGGATTAGCACATTAAGCTGCTGCCTTCAGGGCTAACATGCCATGGGCATCAGTTTGAATCCAAGCAGTTTCACTTCTGATATAGCTCCCTGCTAACGCACCTGGGAAAGCAGTAGAAGATTGCCCAAGTGCTTGGGCCCCTGCACTCACATGGGAAAACTGGAGGAAGCTCCTGGCTTCAAACTGGCCCAGCCTCTGCCGTTGTAGCCATTTGGGGAGTGAACCAATGGCTGGCAGATCTCTCTTTCTCTGCCACTGTGCCTTTTAAAGAAATAAATTGATTTTTCAAATTACTAATGCCAAACTTCTGAAATATACATTCCCACTTTCCCAACAAAGACACAAAACCAAGTGACAGCAAAGCCTGTTTATTACACAAGGATATCAAGCTGACGTCCTTCTGGAATGGGACCATCCAGCCTGCAAAATCACCTGATCTGGCCCTGCCAAGGCAACAGCAGGCAGGACTCAATGCAGCCAAGCCAAGAGCGGGCTTACTGCTAAGATGACAATGTCACATGGCCCGCGAGTTATAAATATCCACATGGCCTTGGGCACAGAGAAGGCAAATAAAAAGCCGGATGTGATATTTCCAAACCCACAGGAGCTGTGTTTAGACGTTAAGGCCTATTTTGGTCATACATGACCGAGTTATAAGCTAGCCTTGCTTTATATCAGCCCATCCATTCTGGCCTTGGCAATTTCTCCTCCTACAATGACCTGACCCGAGTGGAGCAAAGCGTTCTCAGGACCATAGATCTGAACTTTCAAACAATACTTTTAGCCTGGTTTTATGTATTCTGGATTAAGAAGAAGAAGCTTTCTTCTCTTTAAAATCACCGCTTGAGGGGCAGGCGCTAGTCACAGCAGTCAGTCAGGACGCCACCTGGGATGGCCCCATCTAACTAATCACCCACATTCTCCCTTTTCAAAGAAAAGCAGCTCTGGGTCCCAGGATGTACTCTACCGCCAACTGTCCCTGCCTGCCAGCCTGATGTCTATTCCACCCATCCCTGTCTGCCAGCCCAGTGCCCATTCTGCCCATCCCTGCCTGCCAGCCCAGTGCCCATTCTGCCCATCCCTGCCTGCCAGCCCAGTGCCCATTCTGCCCATCCCTGCCTGCCAGCCCGGTGTCCATCCCGCCCATCCCTGTCTGCCAGCCCAGTGCCCGTTCCACTCATCCCTGTCTGCCAGCCTGATGCCTGTTCCACCCACCCCTGTCTGCCAGCCGGTGCCCATTCTGCCCATCCCTGCCTGCCAGCCCGGTGCCCATCCCGCCCGTCCCTGTCTGCCAGCCCAGTGCCCATTCCACTCATCCCTGCCTGCCAGCCTGATGCCTGTTCCACCCACCCCTGTCTGCCAGCCCGGTGCCCATCCCGCCCGTCCCTGTCTGCCAGCCCAGTGCCCATCCCGCCCGTCCCTGTCTGCCAGCCCAGTGCCCGTTCCACTCATCCCTGCCTGCCAGCCTGATGCCTGTTCCACCCACCCCTGTCTGCCAGCCGGTGCCCATTCTGCCCATCCCTGCCTGCCAGCCCGGTGCCCATCCCGCCCGTCCCTGTCTGCCAGCCCGGTGCCCATCCCGCCCGTCCCTGTCTGCCAGCCCGGTGCCCATCCCGCCCGTCCCTGTCTGCCAGCCCGGTGCGCATCCCGCCCGTCCCTGTCTGCCAGCCCGGTGCCCATCCCGCCCGTCCCTGTCTGCCAGCCCGGTGCCCATCCCGCCCGTCCCTGTCTGCCAGCCCGGTGCCCATCCCGCCCGTCCCTGTCTGCCAGCCCGGTGCGCATCCCGCCCGTCCCTGTCTGCCAGCCCGGTGCCCATCCCGCCCGTCCCTGTCTGCCAGCCCGGTGCCCATCCCGCCCGTCCCTGTCTGCCAGCCCGGTGCCCATCCCGCCCGTCCCTGTCTGCCAGTCCAGTGCCCGTTCCACCCACCCCTGTCTGCCAGCCCGGTGTCCATCCCGCCCGTCCCTGTCTGCCAGCCCAGTGCCCATCCTGCCCGTCCCTGTCTGCCAGCCCGGTGCCCATTCTGCCCGTCCCTGTCTGCCAGCCCGGTGCCCGTTCCCCCTGTTCTGCTCCACAACTCACCATTCTCCTTCCTGAGCCTGGAGATGAACTTCTTCGGGGGGATGACGCCCACTTTCTTCTTCTGCGTGGCGATGCTGTGGAACAGGTCTGCCAGGCACGTCAGCAAATTTTCCTTCTTTTTCTGCTGGGCCTTGTATGCCAGCACATTCTCACGGAACGGGCGGCAGAAGTACAACGCCTGCAGCACGGAGTTACAGTAGCATGTGTTCCCGAACTGCGGAAGACAATGGGGGTGCGTGTCACCGCTGGGGACAAAAGCCACCGCCAGCTGGCACTTGTGGGGGAGGGAGCCAGTGGCCTCCAGGGCCCCAGAGTGCTCAACGTGTTAGAGGACTGCTGAACTCCTCTAACCACCAGCATCATGGAAACAGACAGCCGTGTGCAGCAATTTGGCCAGCCAGGGTTCCAGGAATAAAGGATGCACAGGTTTTCAATGGTGCACATGCTGAACACGGCAACATCCTACACCGTCGAGCTCCATCCGGGGGAGCACAAGCCCTGAGGCGAACGAGCTATGTCCACACTGCGGAGCCACTTAGAAGCCTAGGGGTCAGCGAGCAAGGGATCAGAACACTTACGTCGACCAGGCCTTAATTTACTTGGGAAAGCGAAAGCAAGGACAATGCTGGCCACTTCATTCCACGTGGCCTACAGCTGCTCTAGTCTATAGGACATTCACTATGGGTCCTCTTAACATCCTGTACATCAGAATGAACCTTCCTACTTAACCATACTTAAGGGAAAAAAGCTACATCTAGAAAATAAAACTACCTACAGTGCCGGGGGCCAGGGACGGCTTGGGCAGCTCTTTCCCAGGAGCTCAGGGGGCTGCCTTTTTCATGTCTGTGGTTCTGGAGAAGTGTCAACTCTGACGCGCAGGCCCTCACAGGTGAGCCTGCCCTGTGCTATTAGACTAAGCAGCCACCTGCAGCAAGACGCCCATGTGCTCGGGTGCCTGCATCTATGTAAGAGACCGAGGAGAAGCTCCAGGCTCCTGGCTTTAGATCAGATGAGCTCTGGCCACTGCAGCCATTTGGGGAGTGAACCAGCAGATGGAAGAACTGTCTCCCTCTTTCAACCTAACTCTGCCTTTCAAAAAAAAAAAGACTTAAGGAAAAAAAGCATCCCCAGGTACCGCCTTGGAGACATTCTGAGAAACAACACAGACTGAAACTGAAATAGTACATGACATCTTCTCCAGCCTGCTGCTGGCTGTGCGCCGGGCACCCGAGGAGACAGCTGCCGTGCCACCCCCACTGCAACACTCCCGCACCCCCAGGCCAGAACGCTTCCTGCTTCTCAATCTCCCTTGGCACGGCTCAGACAGAACCACGTCTCCGGAAACAAGCTGGGACTCTGACGTGCCCATCAAGCAAGTTGCTAACAATCACAGCTCTCAAGATCCTGCCCCCGGCTAGGACACACTTCCCTTCTTTCTCACCCACCTCAGCCTGCTGTGTCTTTTCTAAAGCCAGGCAGAGCTCCTGTGGCTAGAAGTAACCATCTCCATGGAGCCAGCCAGAGGTCTGTGCATCACAGCTAAAGCAGGTGCACTAACCTGAGACATGGGCACTGCATGCCAGTGCTTCCACCATCCTCCTCCCTGCTCTGCTCCAGCAACTGTCTCTCCCCTTTGCCTAGACACCCTTCAGCATCACTTGACCTTGACCTAGGAGAAAATTCCCAGGAATGCAAAGGAACCCATTGTTGGCTCAGACCCACCGCACTCCACCTCATGCTGGGTCTCAGCAGGGGCTCTCATCCACTGTCACTCTAGGAGGAGGACAGAGAGGCTAGAGGGCAAACCTCTCACCCCAGATCACCCAGCTAGGGGCAACACAGGCAACCGCAACTTGCAGGCACTGTCCCATCTTCCCTGAGAGAAGCCACTGCTTACAGTTCAGGACAGTGACCCCAAAACAGCGGGCATTTAGGAACCAACAGCCACTGTCCCTCCAAACCTCTGCCCAAGGCACTCCCCCATCGGGTTCCACACACCCCACCCTGCCATGGATGGGGCTGGGAGAACCAGACCCAGACCCACTCAGGACCGGGAGAATGGGCCGGGAACGGACTTTGAGATCCCAGTTTTCCCCCACACACAAACCATCGCTGCGTCAGGGAGGACACAGCCGGGCAGCCCCGTTACCCACTCCTCAGAGATCTACAAAGGGGACAAAACAAAAGCTTTGTGCACAAACAAAACCATTCCAGTGCCAGGGTGGAGAATGCCACACTGACCCAGGCATGCAATTTAAATCCATTCTAGGCCAACCCATAATTTGAAAATCTGATTAAATCCAATCTTTTAGGGCCTGGCACGACAGCCTAGTGGCTAAAGTCCTCACCTTACATGTACCAGGATCCCATATGGGTGCCAGTACATGTCCTGGATGCTCCACTTCCCAACCAGCTCCCTGCTTGTGGCCTGGGAGAGCAGTCAAGGACAGCCCAAAGGCTTGGAATTCTGCACCCGTGTGGGAGACCTGGAAGAAGCTCCTGGCTCTTGACTTTGGATCAGCTCAGCTCCAGCCGTTACGGCCACTTGAAGAGTGAACCAGCAGACGAAAGATCCTTCTGTCTGTCTCCTTGTCTCCACAGGTCTGACTTTCTGATAAAAATAAATAATTCTACCCCTTTCTTCAACACTTGCCACCTATGCTATGAGCATGAAGAATTATCTCAACACTGGCAACACTGGGGCAGGCATTTCGACACACCAAGGGGGACCCCTCCTGGGACACCCGCTGCCCACAGCAAATCCTCATCCCCTACTTCAGATGAGCTTCCTGCTCACACATCCTGGGCCGCAGCAAATGATGACTCAACTGCTTGGGTCCCTGCCACCCACATCTCCCAGCACAAAGCTCCCAGTTTCAGCCTGCTCCAGCCCAGGTGTTTGTGGCCATTTGGGGAGCAAACCAGCACACGGAATCGCTCGCCCTCTCTCCCTTTCAAGTAGCACACCAGAATCCATTATGGGCACAGGTTTAAGACCCAGCTCTTCCATTTCTGATCCAGCTCCCTGCTAATGTCACTTGGCAGGCAGCAGAGATGGCCCAAGTACATGGGCTTGTGCACCCAAATGAAAGACCCAGATTAACTCAGCTCAGACTGTCACGAGCAACTGGGCAGTGAGCCAGTGGATGGAAGAGCTCTTTCCCTCCCTCTTTCTCTCTAATGCTTTTAAGTAAAATATATAAATCTTAAAAAAACAACTGAGCAGTGCCAGATAAAAGCGATACAGCTTAAATACTCACATTGACCAATCCGAAGTAGTGTTCATTGATGGGAAACTGCTCTGGACCAATGTCTTTTTCCAGAGCAGAGGCATTGGTGCCCTGAAAGAGAAAAACACAAGTTCTACCACACGTGGGATCAACAAGAAAGCACTACTGCATTGGAGCGAATCCACCACTGGACCGTCCCAGCAGCTCCCAGGGGGTGTTAACCACTGGAAGAAAAAGTGCCAGCAGCAAACTGGAATACCAGCTCTGCTCCCTCCCTCATCTGACTTATTCATCCCCACACCCTGCCCACCCAGCCCACTTGGCCTCAATGTCCTTCTGGTAACGAAGGAGACCGGGTAAGCAAATAATTAAGGCAGCACAGAGCATGCCCGATGCAAAACGGTCACTGCCAACAGCTGCACCTGCTACAGGACATCTGCTGCTGAATACCTGTGCAAGATGCAGCTCCAGGTCAGCGAAGCCAGCCGCAGCCTGCCAAGCTAACAGCCACTGGGTCCTCAGACTGCACGCCATGGCCTGTGATACTCAGGCTTACGACCATCCTGTGAGCTAGGTGCTGCTGCCACCACCCCCTCTCCCACTCAGCGAGAAGGGACTCAGGCTCAGAAGATTCAACAACAGGTGCCCCCAGGGGCCACTGTAAGTGCATGGCACGGTCGACCCATGAATTCTTGACAGCCAGTCTTAGGAGCTGCGAGCCTACTCATATACCACACACAGCACTGTGAGATCAGATGAACCATGGCCACACAGTGCAGTGACACAGAAGGACAACATAAGCTGAGGCCACTGGACAGCCACAGCCACACACAAGACTGTGCAACTGGACAGCCATGGCCACACAGGACAAGACCATCAGAAACCGTGGCCTTGTGGAATACAGAATGCTACATGAAACAATGTTACGGGACAAACCATCGCCTGAGTCCCACTCAGGGGCCTGGATGATCTGCTGGCATGAGGAACACTGATGAAGGCTTGGTCCAATAAAGCAAACCCAGTCATCCCTGGTTCTCAGTGGGGGATTAGGTCAGGACACCACAGACACCAAATCTGACAATGCGCAAGGTCTCTCTGTAATAGCACAGCAGGTGTTCTGGCACAGCAAGTTAGACACCACTTGTGATGCCAGCATCCCATGGGAATACCAATTCAAGTCCCAGCGGCTCCACTTCCAACCCAGCTCCCTGCTGGTGTAAGTGGGAAAGCAGCAGAGGACGGCCCAACTGCTTGGGTCTCTAAGCCACACGGGAACACTTCCTGCCTTTGCCTGGCACAATCCCAGCCATTGTGGCCATGTCAAAATGAACTAAAAGATCTCTCTCTCTCTAACTCTGGCTTTCAAACAACTGAAATGGCAAATAGCCTACGCACATTCCCTCGGTTTACCATCGCTGGGTTACTTCCAACAACTAACAGAATACAGATGCTTCACTGCATCGTTTCAGGAAATCATGACAGGCAAAAGGTCCACGCACATTCAGCCAGGGGCCACGACCAGCCAGGGACCATGCTCAAACATGCACCACGTTCAGTCAGGGACCACGACCAGCCAGGGGCCATGCTCAAACAGGCACCACGACCAGCCAGGGGCCACGACCAGCCAGGGGCCACGACCAGCCAGGCGCCACGTTCAGCCAGGGGCCACGTTCAGCCAGGCGCCACGTTCAGCCAGGGGCCACGTTCAGCCAGGGGCCACGTTCAGCCAGGCACACAGCCAGGGGCCACATTCAGTCTAGAACCATTCTCTTCTTGTGTATTTTCAACCCAAGGGTAGTTAAAGCCCCGGATGTGGAGCACAGAGATGCGAGGCGACAAGGCTGGAATGCAGGTGGGCTGCCACTCCACGCGTGCCGGCTTCTCCCACTCCCCAGCTACCACGAGGCCTCACGGCTCCCAGAATCTCCAAGAGACAGGTGTTACAAAAAGAAAGAGGCCTACAATTTATCAAACGGGAATCTGCCACTACGACTTATTCCTGAGTCATACCATGAGCCCCTCCTTACACAGCTAAAAAAAAAAAAGTATGCTGAGAACCAGCAAAGATGCCACTTGTCACCAAGGATACGTGAAATGCAAATAACACGACATTCTGCAGAAAGAGCTACAGCAGAAAGGGCATCCCACATGGGCCCTGGCTCCCCGGGTCGGCCCAGCTGCATTCCTCTGGGGTCACCTGAGGCCTGGAGGTCAAGGGTCAGGAGTGCACCAACAGCCCCACTCCTCCCCGTGGGCACTACACACAAGATCCCATGGTGTGGCCCAGAATCACACAAAACATAGTTAACCTCTCATTCATGAATCCATGTACAGAGCGTGCATTAAATCTGCCCACAGCCTTTTTCAAGCAAAATTAAATACATGGCTTAGAGCCCATAAGAAATGTCGGATACAGAAATAGGGCCCCCCAGAAACAGATCCTGTGAAACCATCCCTGATGAGGAGTAAGCCATTCCAAGTGGAAATGCTGGAATCTGCTTTCTTCCACTTTCTCAGGGACTCCCCATCTGGGGGTCTCAGGCGAGACTAGGGGCAGGGAGGAAGCGACAACACAGGGACAGCAACCTAGGACAAAGGCCCAGAGCCACAGGCGGGGGCTGGGGAGCACCAGGCATGGGGCCGAAGGGGGCCGACCGCCCCTGCCCCCTCCACGGCCTGGCTCCCCGCTGAGCCCACACCACCCCTCATGCCCTCACGCCACCCAGGGGAGGGCCTGGGAAGCTCTAGAGAAGCAAGCTGGGCAGCCATTCTAGTTGCTGCTTCCAGAACACCACACCTTCACCTTCTGGTCAGAACACGCACCGAGGCAGTGCCTGGCCTCCTGGGGCAGGAAGGAACCAGCTCAGGCGTACTTGGGGAGACTGAGTAAAGCAAAGGTCAAGGCTCTCACACAGTCCCGACCCATGTCCCGGGTCCAGCCCTCACCTCCCTCAGCCAGTAGAAGGGCTAGCTGGGGAAGCAGCTACCTAGGGAAGGCGCAGAAAGCCAAGCCAGCCCACACAGCTAAGAGGGCAGCTCTTACGGGGCCCATCAAGAAGCCACAAGCTTAGAAAACCTCCACGTGGCGGTTCTGAGTAGATGGAACGTCACTTCAAAGCTTTGTGCATAGTCAGGCAAGGGCCTCCACACACAGCCAACCCAGCAGCCTTCTCCATTCCCCCACATCCCAAGCCCCGGCCCACCAGCCTCCGAGTCTTCCTCCGCCTGCTGCCTCTATCCAATCCACTGCTCGGGATGGAGCCGGCCACCGTGGCCAGCAGTGATGCTCCCTGACCTGGGACCAGGATGCCTTACAGGGCAAAGGGGACTTTACTGCAGAGATGAACTCAAGGGTCCCGTTGGGAGAAGACTCACCTGGATTCTCTGAGCAGGCCCCGCACACAGAGGAGCCATATGGGCTAGAAACGGCAGGCAGCATGGAGCCGGAGGGCGTGGCCTGGCACCCAGGAGCCAGATAGGCTTGGGAACAGACTCTCCCTGTGGCGCGTCAGCAGGTGCACACAAGCCTGTGGACACCTTGACTCTGACTTCTGACCTCCATGACTGTGAGATAACACATGTGTCCTTCTGAGCTACTAAGTTTCTGGTACTTTTCTTACCGCAGCAATAGGGAACTCCCCCGCCCCTCCCCAACCTACACTCTCCAGGTACAGCAGCTTGGATGGGCTGTTACTCAAAGACCACTTGTGGCCTGCTCAGTGGCCAGCATGCAGCAGGCCCACCACACCACAGTGACGGGGCAGCCACGGCCATCCGCACCTTGGGGAGCTCTGCGCTCCTCCTGCACCAGAACCGGGACCTTCGGCTTGCCCACTCTCCCTTTCCTTGTGTGGACACGCTGAGGAATCAGTTTCCATGGATACAAAATGTCACTGATACTGACACATGAACCAAACACTGGCTTCACACACTAGCATCTTCCAGTGATGACTGGAATCTCTGCATCTTTAGCAGATTCTGGGATGAAATGTTACGTGTGAATGTGTGATGGAAGGACACAGTCAAGGCGGGGAATGAGATGGTGACAATGGTGATAATGGTGGTGGGAGGGTGGTGGTGGTAGTGATGGTAGTGGTAGGAGGGTGGTGATTGTGGCGGCAGCAGTGGTGGTAGTGGTGGTAAGTGGTGGTGGTGATGACAATGGCAACAAATACTGAAGAATTAATTTAAGCAAACTCAGCCAAAACTTTAAATGACTATATCCTCCAGTCCTGTAGAACTACTTTGGGTAATCTGTTGTACAAATACAAAAGTACTTCAAAACGTTCACAGAAAAAAAAGGGAAAAAAATGAATTAAAAGATAAGATGGCAAGTGCATTGTGGCACCACGCGTGAACCGCCACACCCATACCCCACACTGGAGCCCTGACCGAGTCCCGCTTCCAGGCCAGCTTCCTGCTAACGTGCTCGGAGGCAGGCACAACAACAGTCCAGCCTGTGGACCTCTGCTACCCACACAGGAGACCAACCACTACATACCACTGACAGCAGACCAGGGAGCAAGAGACCCCTCACTCTCCTTTCTTCTCTCTTTTGTTCTCCCTCGCTCTCTCTCTACCTTTCCAATAAATATCTTTCCTTTAAATAATATAAAAGTGAGCTTTTGGTGCAGAAATATCTGAAACCCACGCCAGCTTCTTTCATGACACATATTTTCCACAAACACTTTGAAGGTCCCTGGTACGCAGAGCAGTGGAAAAGGAGAGATCCTGTAACAGACCCAGTGAAGAGAAGTGGCTCCCGCAGCGTAAGGGCTTCCCTTGCTCCTGTAAGTTTCAAGACAGCTGGCCCGGGTGGAGGCTGTGCCATGTTGGGGAGCACACTCCGACTTTGCTGCTCCAACATCCACAAGAGTCAGCTCCCGGCAGGGCGACCAACTGCCAGCTGCGGCTGCCAGATCACTCCCGAGAGGGGCGGGAGGAAAGGGAAGAGCTGCCCCTCTCTTTCCAAGGATGCTCCTGCATGTGAACCCGTCACTTCAGCTCCTCACCCACAGGCCAAGCCACTCACATAGCCACGGTTCACTTCAGGGGAGCCCAGCAGAGGGCCCGCTCCCCGAGCACCCATGACCAGTCACGGGTCCTCTTCC